AATTCTTTTTATAGCAAGAAGATGCATCTCTCTTGGATGTTCCATATACCTACTGATTAAGAAAACAACATGCATCATTTCTAGTCTTGTGGCTGTCAAATACATTAGACTTCTCACAATTTGTTTGTAAATAGTGTTGTCCACTTCTTTTCCTCCAAGATTTTTGGTTAACTTCAAACCATACTTCATTGATGTGTTGACAGCATTGCCATGCTTCATTTGAAACTTGTCTAAGACATCCTACACATACTTGTCATGGACTTCTTAAAATTTTCAAACATGATACCATTATTTCCAGTGAAGATTAAATCATCAACATATAAACACACAACTAAAATTTTTCCTCAATCACCAATTTTAACAAAACAGTGTGTTCATATGGACATTTTTTAAATCTTTCCTTAAAAAAATAAGCATAAATTTGATTGTACCAAGCTCATGGAGCTTGTTTCAATCCGTATAAGGCCTTTTTTTAACTTATAAACTTTGCGCTCATTTTCCAGCCTTAATACAACTAGGAGGTTGATTCTCTATACACGAGAGAATTAATCTGAAACTGATTCTTTTGACTTTATTCAAGTTATTTTAAACTCGACACATAAAGCTTGAAGTTGCAGCCTCTTCACTTTGGTAGACTCTTGATACTTTTTCTTTATTGACTCTTAAATATCCTTGAAAGTTTCTTTCTTCAAAATAGTTTCCAGGATGGATCTGTCAATGGCTTGAAACAAAATAGTTCTTAACTTTCAGGTTTTTCAGCTTCATTGTCTCCAATTCCATCTTTTGTGCATCTGTCATTGCTGTGCTGGGTGTTGATTCTATTATTCCTCGGATGGTCATTATACATGTTGTGTGTACAGTTCATGTGATCACTCAGGTTACTTGAATTGATAGAAAAAGCCCTTATCATCGTCTTCAAAAGTGATTGTTCTCCTCCACTAGCCATCCATTGATGCATGCACATTGGATGACAAAGGATCACTACGCCAGAAATGAGCTTTTGGAGTGCTAACTTAGACAACGGTTAATAAAAACTGCTTTGTAATTATATATTTAGAGAGTGATTATCTATTAACTGCTCTGTAAAGTACACATTAGAGAACAGTTAATAAAGAACCGCTTTCTAATCTCATTCTTAGGGAGTGGTTAATAAAGAACTGCTCTCTAATATTATTAAAGTCATTTATAAATGAACACGCTCAATGCATTTCTTTTTTTTAACTAACAAAGCTGGTCTCTTTCACTGTAAGTTTCTTCTTTACTCTCTTATTTTTTCTACATCTTCTCTGTTAGCCTGCTCTCTTCGTTTTCTCTTGCTAACAAATTAGTTTTTTTTTTTTCCATCTGTAGGTACCTCTTCATTCTGTGTTAGTCTGTTCTTTTCATCTTCTTTATGTTAATTTTTCCACATCTGTAAGTACTTATTTCTTCTTCTCTTTGTTAACGTTGAATCATCCATTCTCTCTTTTTTTTTTCTCTATTAATGTTAAAAATTATCCTAGTAATTTGTTCTCTCTTTTTTCTCTGCTTACTTATGTTTGGTTCATGCAGATATTGACTGTTTGGTTAACACCAAATATATAAACTCAAGATTCAATTTTGATTTGTGATAAAAATGAAGAAAACTCACAAAGAAATCAATTCCAAATTTTGATTTAAACGTAATAATAAATTTTTATTTTGCAACAGAAAACTCAAAAAGAAATCAATTTCAAATTTCAGATTCGCGGTCTACATTTATACTTTAGAGAGCGGTTCCACGCAAAACCGCTCTCTAATCTTACACCTATACTTTGAAGAGTGGTTCCGCCTGCTCTCTAATCTTAACATCAGATAACGCTTGTTTAACCGTTCTCTTAAATATAATACATTAGATATCACAAGATTTTAGAGCAGTTCTAAATGTTCTTTAATTCAAAACGGAACCGCTCTCAGATCTCCATTTTGACGTAGTGGGAGGAATTAAATTTCTATGTTTTGGTGAGACTGTATACCTATTTCTCTAAATCTTCACCCCTATTAATTTTTCCTAGTTATATGATTTAATTGACTGAGCATTATGTCCATTTTGATTGCTTCGAAAGATGCTTATAACATAAATAAAATGTATCACATAGCAAACTACATCATCTTCAAGGATGGGTGAATATAGTGCAATGTGTATAGTTAAGTATCGCTATAGAAATATCAAGAATAGAAGACTAGTAAAAATCAAAGTGAGGGGACTCCAAAACAACCCAAATTGGCTCTTTTATGCTTGTAGTTAGAGACAAAGTATTTGGATTCCTTGAGTGCGATTGAATGAATACTAATGAATTTTCCTTCAATGATGTGTCTAACAAGTTTGATGATGGTAAGTATACAAAACAATGTAGATAGAAGATGTAGTAAATTATGTGAGGTTAGAAATTAAATTGTGTTTTTCAAAATTTTTCATAAAAAGTAAAATTTTACATACCTTTGGAATAATGTTTGCATGAAAGGTGGATTTGATGGCTAGAACACCCTAAAACCTGGAAAAAGTCGATACGCATGAATATCATGACACGGATCGAAATCCAGTGCAGTTGATGCAGGAACTGCCCTGTGTAGTTAGGTAAAATTTTACATTTTTGCTTAAACAAAAATGTGTTAGCTTAAGCTAAAATACAAAATAACATGACAGGACGGTGTAGTTACAAGATTGAATCCAAATCCATCTGTAACATGCTTCTCTCTCGGTGGGACTTGTGGTAGTGCTTTTCAGAATGAGCTTTCCTTCTAACTTTACTTTCTATAACTGTTTTTCTTCTATTGTCTATGTTGAATCATACGTATCTGTATACTTTCACATAGGATTCATTTATGACATTATAAGCAATTTTACTTGCTAATGCGATCGATGGCTAATATCTGGATCATAGTGTTTGACCAAGAGTTCACATGTTTCCCCCTTTGCCAGCATTGGTCTCTCTTGCATCTTTATCTGTTTGTGATAAAATTTTATTGAATAGATAGATTGTTTTCTTTGACCCTTTGGTCTCTTTGTTCCACTGAAAAATATTATTATTAAGAAACAATTCCTTTGAATTTGGATACATCTTGGAAACATAGGAGCCTCATTATATCATTTTTGCATTTTTTTTGGATAGCGAAAAAGTTTGACATATTACTGTATCATTTGGTTTATATAAATTTAATTGTACTTTCAGTTTCTTTAATTTAAACTACATGTAATTTTAGTCTCTTAATTTTTATAGTGAAGTAATTTTTTTTAATTTTAAATGTAAATATATTGAGTTTATTAATTATTTTTAAAATTTAAATCTTTAAGTTGTTATTTTTTTATCCAATTATATGGAGATTAGTGATGAATTTGGGATATGAAATAATTTAAAACGTTTTATAAGATAGGCAAATAAGATTTGAAGAAGAAAGATTTTGATTTTTTTTTGTTTTAGATATAAATTGATATTTACGTTAATCATTTTATTTAGCAAAAGGAAATTTAATCAATTTAAGTTATAAAATTTTATATACAAATGAAAATATGTGAATTTTAAGTAGAAGAAAAGTGATAAATAATTTTAAACAAGATAAATATAATTAGCCAAAAGATAAAATACAATTAAATGTTATTTTATATATATTACTTCGTCATTGCAAATTATAATAATCACTGTACTCCCATGGACATATTTGCAAAACATAAAGAACTGGCAAAAAAGCGAAAACTGTAACAAAACTGCGAAACATTTGTCATCCAATTCAAATACCACTTACCATTTTTTTGGGTTAAATTGTGTTAAACATTTTCAATACAAGATTATTAATAAGCTAAAACAGTTTATCTGAATTTGAACACAGGAAGAGAACTTAAAAAACAAGACCCAAAAGTACACTTCGTCTCATCATGTAAAACAATAAAAACGAAGTACCACCTAATGATTCGAGTTCAATGGCACAGAATCTAAGGGCACTGTGTGCCTTTAATTGAAGGTAATAACTAATTAAATATTTACTGCAAATGTTTAGCCTGTTCAGGAGTTTTTTCTTTATTAACATAGAATCCTAAAAATAAATAAATAAATAAAAATAATAATAACCTAGGGCGATTGGGCATTTCCATGGGGGACAAATAAGTTTGGATACACATGGCTTTAGGCTTCAGACGTTCATTAGAATTCGGACAATACATTATCACATGTCTAACGTTGTTGGTTGTTACACGTTTGTCTAATGCAAGAGGCACAAAAGAAAAGAAGAAAAAGGGGTCTTGGTAACGAGTTATAAAAAAAGTGTTAAGAAATCAATAGTATTAGAAAAATCTGAAAAACAGTATAAATATATTGATAATATTAAATAATATATATATATATATATATATATTATTTTAGGTTATTTTAATTTAGTATCTTAAATATATTGACTACAAGTAAAATACACTATTGGTATTTTTCATTTTTGATGTAATTTTAATTTATTTATTAATTTCGTATTAGTATCTTTAAGAAATTAATTAATACTATTTTTACTTAATTAATTTTTATTTTTTAAAATAAAGATATTGGTTAACATTTTAAAATGATGTGTTGATCTAATAAAATATAAAAATATTAAAAATTTAAAGAATATTTATTATGTTTTAAAATAATAAATATTTTTAATATTTATATTTTTAAATGCTTAAAATAAATTTTAAGAATTAAAATTTATAAAATATTATAATATTTTATCATTTAATTAATATCCTTAAAATATTGAATAAAAACTAATAAATAATATATTTTTATTTAAAATTTTGTTAAAATATATTAAAAATTATTAAAAAGTATTTTTACATTTTAAATAAAAATGTATTTTTACTTTTTTAACTCGTTTCTGGCTAGCATTTTTTAATAGTAAACGCTATAAAATTAGAGGAGAATAAAAAAAGGTTGCGCCAGAGTTTTTTTTTTCTTACCCAAATCCCAATCATGCAGATTAATTAAATAATTATAAACAGTGTACAGTTAAGAGGGTCAGAGAGAGAGAGAGAGAGAGTTTGTAGAGAGAGAAGGGTCAAATCGAGTGGCGAAAGGTTGGGTGTCTTCTTGAGTATTTTTGTGGTGCTGGTGCTGGTGCTGGTTTTAGCCTAGGGGCTTTCAAACAAAAAACTAAGAAAGAAGAGAGAGAAAGAGAAAAGAGAGAGAAGAGAAAATAAAAGAGAGAGAGAGAGAGGGAACCAAAAAGGAAAAAAAAACCTGATAACTGAGATAACAATACTGGAGAGAGTTCCAAGCTCCGCTTCCCAGAAAAAAAAATAAAAACTTGCTTCACTTTATCTCTTCATTTTTCCCTCTCTTACCCTCTGATCTCCTGCAATCTTTCCTCATGGATCCCTTTGATTTGATTCGTAAAGGTATAATTTTTCTTTCAAACACGTCATAAATTTCAGATCTTTCACTTACCCATCTCATTAAATTTTGTGTTTTTTTCTGTAATTTCCAGCTTTTGTTCTGTCTGATTAATTGTACTTGTTGGGGTTCCTTTAATTTTATTTTTTTTCTGATTCTCTGAGTTGAATTGCTTAAGATCTTGTAAAGATTTGGCTTTCATAATGAAAGCTTGTATTATTGGTGTACTCATGCTTTGACTTTTTTTTTTTCTTTTTGTCTTCTGCTGGTTTTAATCTGTCGCACCTTTTATTTTGTTTGTTATTCCTATGATGTTGGGGTTTGAGTTTTTTGGAAGTTTTGTTGGGTTTTAATAGGCTTCTATGCAGTTACTATTTAACAATTCTTTCAATGATTTACTTCATCTAAGAAACTGCTTTTTAAACAGTGTCAATTATTTGCTCTTGGAAATTTTAGGGTTTTTACCCTTATCCTTACTTGGTGTGAAATTGGTCAGTGTTTCTCTATGCATTTTTGTTATTCATAAGATTAGCTAAAAGTTGTCTGTGACTCGTACATAGTTCCTCTGTTGCTTAATTAAGCTTATGGGATTCACTTCCAAGTTACAGTTTTGAAAATTGCTATCCTATAGTTGCTTGCAGTGATAATCAACCTAGTTCCCAGCCTTTTATATATACTTTGCCGCACGTAATTTTGCAATTTTAAGTTGTAACTGGAGTTCTATATTGATTATTGAGTTGTATAACTTGTATTTGTACACAATTCAAGTATCATGTGTGGTCGGGATACTATTGAGCTCATCTGTCTAGTACATGATGCTTGTCTCCTGTGGAACTGTTATGTTCCTGTTATTTAGATTATAGTCTGGTTGATCAATGAGTATGATTAAATTGAATTATTTTGCAGGGTTTGGTTGAGGCTGTCTGGAAATTTTGTGTTACTGTTTTTAAGGTCCATTTATGTTTTAGCAATTTCATCCATATTCTTGTTAATAATGAGCTTATTGAAGAAAGAATCCCAAACAGACGCGAAACTCAGCAGCCCAAACAAAGCAACCGCTTTGAATCCAAATGCAGCAGAGTTTATTCCTTTTGCCCTCAGATCATCACCATCTGGAAGCACCAGCTCGGTGGATGCAACAGCCAGGTTCACTGCTGCTGGATCTCTTGGGAAAGCAGTTTTAGATCAATCAGAATCATCCATTTCAAATAATTCCGATGATGAGGCCCACCAGTACTGGCGTTGTCAGCTTCCTGATGATATCACCCCTGACTTCAAGGTCATGGGAGAAGATGAATCCCAAGGTCTTAACAACCTCTCTTTAGCAGGCTTATCAATACATGATGATAATGAATCCTCAAGGTTTGCTTCTTCTAAGGGAAGTAGATATATATTAAATGAGCAGCCAGAATTATCTCAACATCACCATAATGGCAATGCTTTTGCTGATAAATCAAGGTTTTCTAATTCAACCTACAGGGAGGAACCATCTCCAGCAACCTTTTTAAGCCCATCAGCAAAGCCTTGGGATAGGCAAATTGGGAATACTGACTTGCATATTAGCAGTGGTCATGAGGCACTTGCTTTTGATGACCACTCTAGACATGGATTCTTAAATGATGTTTTGGCTGAGAATGCTATTGTCGATGATACTGATTTGAATCCTTTGGAGTTTTTAGTTTCTCTATTCCCTGGTTTTGCTTCAGAAAGCCTTGCTGAAGTTTACTTTGCCAATGGATGCGATTTACATCTGACCATTGAGATGCTCACTCAATTAGAGGTAGGTTGATCTTCATGCAGTACTTTACCTGAAGTTAAATTATGGTTCGTTATAAAGCCTCTTTTCATGAGTCTGACTGTAAAATTGTATACTTTGTCAGTTACATTTAAATGTTACATCTGTCTTGTAGCATGTTCTAATGCAATTATTGGTTGGAAATGCATATCTTGCAATATGCTATACGCTTTGGTACAAATTTAATTTGAAGGGTTAGAAGCTAAATGTGTAGAGAAATACTTGTGCCTTGTTTTGGCAGGGAAGAGCTGGCGTCCCATAAAGTTGTGAAGCAACTCTAATGCGATCCAGCTTCTGGTTTCTGGTCACTGTTTTCCTGAATGCTGATACCTTATGCTGCATGTTATCAAGGGCCATTGGAATTTTATTAGCATTTATTTTCGATGTATAATATTTTCATGGTATTTGATATAATAATACAACCATGTCTCTAGGTTTTGATTTTAATTCTGTGGATGTCATTATCATCACTCATGAATAGTAGTCATTTCTCTGGCATTCTTAACCAATGACATTTATGTTGATTATCTCTATTTGTTTCCCTCCAAATTTGTAGATTCAAGTTGATGGTAGTTTCAATCAGAATCTGAGTCCAAAGACTCTGTCATCTCCCAATCTGAATGCAATGGACTTTCCTGCACTTGCTTCCTCAAATGGCGAGACCACTTCTGCAAAATATGCTGCAGATAATGTTCAACAAAATGTTAATCCATACGTGTCATCTGAGAAAGACATGCTTATGTTCAAATCAAGCTCTTCTGTTCCATCTAGAGGTGCTATTGACTTTGCTTCAGCTGTCAGGAAATTGGCTTCTCAGGATTCTGGTATATGGAAGTATGATAGGAATGGTTCTGGTGATGCCTCCACAGGCTCAAGTAGGAGTTTAAATGCTCTCGCTAATGCCTACAATGGTGGACAAGGGAGAGCCAACTTTGGTGATAGATTACAGAACCGTGGTTCTGCACGGGCAGCTCCTATCTGGCTTGACACTGGTGACGCAGTTGGTAAATATTTATGATTATATGCTTCAACTGTGAAATGAATTCTTTTTATTCTGTGTCTCCTTTAACAATTTTGCATGGCAGCAAATATGTATTCCGAGCTGCGTGAGGAGGCACGAGATCATGCACGCTTGCGTAATGCATATTTTGAGCAGGTGGGTCTTTGATTCATGCAGTGGAGAAGTTAATGGGAATTTGAATGAGAATATAATTTAATGAGATTGTGAAAATTGTGGACTAAATCATAGAACATGCAAGATGGGAAGTGTAGGGTGGGTAGATTTAATAAGAGCTGTTAGGATACTAAATCAAATATGCACAAACAATAAATTCAATGAATATTTGCTGAGTGACTGGCAAGATCCTACCAGAACCACCTGTTCTTTAGTTTACTTTTGTGCAACCTAAGATTTTTGCTTATTTTCTTTTGTAATGAAATTTGTCCAGCTAACATTTTTGTAACATGAGTTTCAACTACCAAGCTTTTTCCCACTAGCTAGGCAAGAGGTAACATGAGGACTTCCAAGGAGATCACTTATCCTAATTTTTGTAACTTGAGTTTAATCATTCATAATATAAAAACAGGCACGACAAGCCTACCTTATTGGCAACAAAGCCCTTGCAAAGGAGCTAGGTGTTAAAGGGCAACTGCACAACATGCATATGAAAGCAGCACATGGAAAAGCTCAAGAATCTATTTACCGCCAGAGGTTTGTTTTTCCCCACTTCTATTCTATCACTTTTTATCCATGTGACTTTGCAAACAGCACAATTTGTATGTTGTTGTAATGAGCACACTCATTAATACGAAACTAGGCAATGAACTGGTCAGTCTTTTGATTCAGGTTCCTCTATTTAGGTGTATTTAAGTAAGAACTTAATTCAATAAGCCGTTATTGGTTAATATCATAAATTTGATCGTGACATTTTTTGACATAAGTTGAAAGAACTTATTTTGATAAGCTATATGAAAAACCTTCTTGAAATAAGCTAAAAAGGGCTATTAGAGTTGCAAGTTATTTTTATAAACTCTTCCAAACACCCTCTTAAACTCATTGGTTGAACGTAGTCTCTTGATAAGAATAATTTAACTAAAATATTCATAAACATATGTGAGATCTGAATAAAACTTAAATTATGGTTTGTTGGTTCAACCAGATGAATTTTCCGTCCGACTCAACTAGAATTTGACCATGAGATTGAACCATAACATTTTTTCCCCTACACAACCTGTGTATATATGATGAGAATTTTCTTTCGACAGGTGGGTTCTGTTTCCCTTTTATTCATAGTTTTACCTTTCACTTGAATTTCCAGGAATCCTGTTGCTCCAGAGATGCAGGTTAATGGAAGAGGACACGAGAGAATGATAGACCTACATGGACTGCATGTAAACGAAGCCATTCACGTGCTGAAACACGAATTGAGTGTGCTAAGGAGCACAGCGAGAGCTGCCGAGCAGCGATTGCAGGTTTATATCTGCGTCGGCACTGGCCACCATACCAGGGGCTCTCGCACGCCTGCAAGACTTCCAATAGCTGTACAGCGTTATCTACTCGAAGAAGAAGGCCTTGATTTCACAGAACCGCAGCCGGGCCTGCTTCGCGTCGTGATTTATTGAACCAAGGATATGAGAAGGAGGTATACAAGTTTTTGACACAGTAAAAATCCATGAACATATAGAACATTGTAGTCATTCTTGTATCTGTATATGGGAAGTAATGGCATTGCCAGAAGAAAAAGGTAAAAAAAATGGCTGAGGAAAAGAAAACATGAAGAAGGTTAGAAGTACAAAGAGAAGGGTTGTAGCAGAATTGTACCATTAAGGTTTCACTCAGGCAACTGATTACTTTAGTCAGCAGGATCTCCATGTCAGCATTTTCCTTCTGTTAATTTTGTACCCTAATTTTCATTTCTTTGTTTTTTGTTTTTTTTTATTCGGAGATGTAACTGATAGAACTCAATTACAATTTACATCATAGAACGATTCACTTTTTCAATTTAGATTCAATGCCACACAATCTACAGCTAGGAACAAATATTCAAGCAGGTCTGGTTCTCAAATTATCCTCTCTCTCTCTCTCTCTCTTTTTATGATTTCAATTACTACACGATTTGGAGTAGATCGGTTGTCATGTTATTGCAGCAAATTTAAGTAAATTTTCATTTTCCAATTGGCTCTTCGAATAGATTCCACTTGTGCTGTGTGTAATTGTATTAACAATTATTAAAGGAAAATTATTTTATTTCATTTAGTTTTATAGTTGTAAATAATAAGGGAAAAAAGTATATCCAAACATAAATATGCTTGCAAAAACTTTATAGTATGCAGAATCACAGCAAGTAATGTTAACACTTTATTTTTATTTCTTAAAAATATAAATCAAAGCAAGTTTTTTGGTTTAATTTGTTTGTGTGATGAAGAACTGCTAGACATGATCCGAATGAATGGCCATATACTTGATTTTGCCCCCAAGAGGAAAGCGAGATTGTCTCTAGAAATAGTTTTTTAGTGATAAAAAAAAAATGTTTAGTGACTGAAAAACGATGTATTTTGTGAAAACAATTCCTGCCACCAAATTTAAAATGAAAGATCACTACAAAAAAAAAAAAAAAATGAAATTTGGTATCTAAGTCGGTTTCAATTCAATCAGCTACAAAATTCATTGCTGGATACATATGCAAAGACAAAAACCTCTTCTGATACATCTGGTTGCTTTGTTTCCTCACTTTTGTCACTAAGCTTTTGGCTCTCTAACTTATTGACACCAAAGCTTATATTTATTAATCTTCTTCATGCAACTTGTTGCACTCATTGACCCACTTTTCCGCTTTTCATTTAACGAAATATGAAGAAACCAATAGCATGCAATTGCTCATTATCAAATTTGGATTGAACAGCCTATTTCAATTCGGTGGGATCAAGAATCAATTTGGTGAGTTCAAAAAATCGGTGTAGTAGAAATTTGGTTAAAATCAAGCAAAAATCAATGCACAAAATTAGTTTGAACGGGTCACTTCATAAAGCGTTATTTTTAAAAAAATTCATTCTAAAATATTTTTAAAAATAAATAAAGACTCATACATGATATTTACATATAAAATATTATTATTTGACTATTTATTATGATTTTATTATCTCTTAGAACATGTGATATGATTATTTAATGTTAATTTGAAATTTCAATTAACTTATTTTTTTAATTTTATACTATTTTATTACTTAATTTATTATATAAAATTAAAAGTATATTTTATTATTATTAGTTCCATTGTGGTTCAACGTTAAATTAATCAACCATTCACCGATGCATTATTAATTTAATGACCGGTTTGACTTTAAAAACATTGCTTTTTGTTTTTTTAAAAAAAAATACTAGGATAGAATCATTAAAACGGATATAAAACAATATAAATGATATGTAAATCCCAATTTATAAAAGATAAATACTGAATCATTGCAACTTACAAGGGTTGATCCTATCATCATGTAAACGTAATATATTCACATATTAGTTCTACTACCATAATAATAATGTATAGGCCAACAAAGCTAAAATATGAAAGACAATGTAAATACGTAATTACCTCAACGAAGTGATCTTGTTAAAATTATGACATCGGAGAAAAAAAAAAAGCATTCAAAAGTAATGACAATTTGTCAACAACTCCTGTTAATACCATGCTGCGCTGTCAAAAAGTCCACGCAGGGAATCAATATTAACATTAAAGAAAGATCCTCAAAATACGAAGACTTTTGTTACTTTTAGTAATAGTTGTTTTCTAAGTTTAAATATGTACTAAGATGAAGCTATAATGCAGACAACTCTCCTTTTCACTGGTTGAAGAACTTAGCCTTTTTTCTTCAACTTTTGTAAACTCCTAATTAGAAAAATCACAAGTTTTATTTAAATTCTTCATTTAAAATTTTACTTGACTGACCATCCAGTTCCCGCAAAAACGGAATTGGATCCGTATCTGTTATTTTTACTTTTGGAGGGTTCAATTAATAAAGATCGTCAATCTGGACTCCTAATATATTTTCATTAGATAAAGAAAATTTGACATTGGACTAATTTCCAATTAGATCCTTCAACATCCGATAAAGAAGCTTGCCACTAAAATATAATGTATTAAATGAGTAAAACGTCATTTTAATCTTGAAAGTTTTGTGGTCAGTTACATTAATATATGAAAGATTACAATTTTTTGTCTTGAACACTTATTTTACATCATACTTACCGAATATGTGGTAAGTGTATAGATATATAATTCGCATAGGTATACAATTTGTTGTTTTTTACATTATTAAAATAAGTTTTTCTTTAAAAATGTACAGAAAAATAAAGAATCAAAGTAATTGTGAATAGAAAAAAAAGTGTTATTATATCTATTTGATAAGAGAGATACAACAATGTTAATAAATACACACATTAGACTAACAATTACAAAAAGACATTACTAATTGGACCTAACTATTACATTCTCTCACAAACTCATGGGTAACAATCATAAACCCTAAGTTTGTATTTACAATTTTTAAATATATTGTGAGATTTGGACTTGGTGAGAATATCATTAATTTGTTTAAATATTGGTATATATGATTTACTTCAAGCTCTTTGTTTTATATTTTGGCTCAAACAAAGTAAAGCTCAAGTTTAATATATTTTGTGTGAAAATATAGAATTGAGTTAGCTATAAAGAGAAATGCACTTAAGTTGTCATAATACATGATAATGATAAGAGGTTTATCAATGTTAATGTGAATCTCTTGGAGAAGTGACTTAATCCATGCAAGTTATGCTGATAACAATTAGACTTTTGTACTTTGTCTTAGTGCTAAATCAGGGAAATACATGTTTGTTAGATACCTATCAAATGAAATTGGAGCCTAAGAAAACACAATAATCTAAGGTAAATTTACAAACATTTGAGTCAAAATCTCAATCTGTATCACACAATAAAGAGTTTCAAACTATGGAGCTTTGTGAATTGTAAGTCATAAGTGTCAATGTCTTTTAAATATAGTAATTTCGTCTTTACAACTTGTCAACAAAAATGCTTAGGAGCATGCATAAATGGACATATTTTGTTCACAAGAAAAGACATGTTAAGTCAAGTGATAGACGATGTCAAGTCGCTATCAAAACAACTAAGTTTTTTAAAGATTTTGTAGTGTAGAGCTAAATCTAGGTCGATTCACAAAGACACATTTTTAGTCAAATTCAATTTTAGGTTTTCTTTTAAAAAATACAAATAAGGTTTTTGAGGTTTCAAAAATTGTAAATTAATCGAATTGGATTACTAAGAGAATAAAATTGAGTAAAAATGAATTAAGAAACATCAATTCATAAAATATTAAATACATGTAACTCCGGCTATCATAGTATCTAAAAATATAAATCTGCGTTTGATAATCACCCAATTCAATTGAATAACTTAATTGAATAGAGTTACGAATTAAATCAAATAATTACTTAACCTAATCCGCATTATTTATCAAATCAAAGCATCAATTGAATCCTAATTTAAATTCTAATAACAGAAAAGTTAATCACAATCGCAATACACAATTTTTAGACTAGAGAGAAAAAAAGAACAAACTCTGAGCAATTTAGCGCAGAACTCAAGTTAGAATTACAGCGTTTGAATTCCGCAAATTGAACGAAAGATTTAGCCTTTCATCAAAGTACTTAACCCACACAAGTATGAGAAAAGAACAAGAGAGTTCGAGAGAAAATAAAAACAAGGATTCTTATTTCAGTCAAGTCTCAAAATCTCAAAGTGTTTAATTACCTCCCCTAAATCATAACCTTATTAGTCTATTTATAAGCTCTGATTAGGAGAAACTAAATGGCCAAAATTCAAGCCTTAATTATAACTACAAGCCCAAATACAATTATCTAATAACAAAGGGTCCAAATACAATATCGCAACAATATTCAGAAAATCTGTCTCAACTTCAAAAAATCATAAAAAAATCAAAACAACTCCAAATCCAGTGATCCATATATGTATTTTGAAGCATGGATGTGTAGAGTCCAATGCAACTAAGATCAACTAAAAATAATATCTACAGAAAAAGTTATGGCTGAAAGAGTAGTCAGAGGTCAGAATTACCAAAAAATATGAAATTAAAATATTTATTTGTAATAGGCCTAATTTATTCCAATAAGTAAAAAATGATAAAAACTCTAAAAAATAAAGCATATTAAAAGTATTTATAAATCAAAATAAAACTATAAATATAAATCTAAAATATGTCACATCACCAAGTAATAGTAACACATTGTAATCCATCTACCATAGGTCTATAAAGAGTATGATATTCATAAACATTGTCAACAAGTTATTGGTTTCACAAAGAGCATATTGTCCTTTATAAGTAGATCATAAATATACTTTATTTGTATAAGTTGATAGCTCCTAACATATGTCCTATAGACTTGAATCCTAAGGAAGTAGGTAAGTTCTCCTGGGCCTTTTAATAAAAAGTATTTGTGAAGTAATGAAATTATATTAAGAACTTCATAAAAAAGTAATTGGTAATTATAATATCATTCACATATACTAGGACAAGAATTGTGGTTGAATTAGTTATCTTAAGGAATAAGGAAGCATAGCTTTTAGTGAAAGAAAGTGCAAAGTAATTGAGAAAAGTTTGAAGTTTGTGAAACTAGACTGTTAAGGCGTATTTTAAGTCATTTAATGTTTTATAAAGTTTGTATACTTAAGTGTTATCTCCTTGAAAGAAATTTGAAGGTTGAGTTATGAAAACTTCTTCTAGTTCTTCATTTAAAAAGGTATTAGTAATGTTAACTTGCATAATAAACCAAATATGTGCGAGAGCTATTGAGAGGACTATTAGAATAGTAACATGTTTAACTATTAAAGAAGTCAAATCTTTCTTAAGGTGAGTCATTTTGCTTTATTGCAAAGATAACTAAATCTTTGTATTATTTTATTAGTATCTAGAATTTTAGAAACATTTATGTATTTATTTTTATTTTTTTTGAAACATTTTAATTTTTGTCCAAATTG